AAACCCACAAAACAATGAGTCCACAACAGTAGAACCACAAAATACTGAGAGACTACTGTAATTCACTGCAGTTCCCTTATCTACAAATCATTGCTTCAATTTGATCCTTTTCAATAAAGACCCAGACCATTTCTCCCACAGACTATACAAAAGGGTATGGCTGATTTTCCTACTCAAGAGTAGAGTGGCCTGTTTTACAATTTCCATTAGACAGATCAATGCGAGGTAGTTATGCAATGGATACCGGGAAGTTCTTACAGTGGGAAACATAAATTAACAAAAATAAAGTAGTGAAATATCAGAGTGCACCATGCATGCTTATCTAACTAAAGCACACCACATCATTACTAAGTGCAAAGCATTTAGGTCAGTGCCAAACTCCTGTTCCTGCAGATTGTAATTCCTAGACTATTTATTTACTCTACCATTCCTATGAACTTCCAAATATTCACCAGAATGGTACTCGGCTCCTTAATCTAATTTTTTCCCAAAGCAGCTTCCAAGACAAATGCATGCTCATAGCTTATTTGAGAGATGATCCTAGATTATGTATTATAGTGAGGGGGTAGGCAGTGTGAGACCAAAGTGAATGCTATATCTTAGTTAAAATAATAATAATAATAATAATAATAATAATAATAATTCACTCTTACTCTGGACCCTCTGAGGAATCATGTCGACCTGAGCACCCTCCCATAGACGGGGACATTTATCTGTCAACAACTTTTCCCAACTGGAAAAGATTTGGTTTAGATTTGTCACCAAAATTATAAACTGCTCCACAACTTTAAACTGCCTTACCTGGACTCGAGGAGTTTCAAGGGCTTTGGAGAAAGCCCCAGCACAGCAAAGCAAGGGCTCAAGCTGGGAGGATATTAGAAAACATGGGAACTGTACACCCAGTAGCTGCTGAAGCCAGAAGCAAACCAATAAATGTCACCTAGGGCATGAAAGCCTCCAGCCAAAATTTACTATCTTCAAATGATCTTGTGTTCTACTCATTAATGTTGTTCAACCTCATATTCAAAACTTAGCCTTGTCATTACCCTTTTAAAAACTGCAAGCTGGGCCAGCCAAATAGCTCAGAAGATTAAAGCACCTGCTTAGGCACACGTAGGGGCCAGAAGTTCAATCCCTGGGACTGCCATGCCAGTCCCGCCCCTGGGGCACGCTGAGACAGTGATTGAGACTGGTGTAATCCCAGCATTTGGAAAGCTGCAAACAGGAGGATCACTACAAGTCGAGCTACACAGTGCCACTATGAGGCTGATCTATGCAGTGAGATCCTGGATACCCTGGACACCCTGGACACCCTGGACACCCTATCCTAAATACAAAACAAAACAAAAAACCCTGCAAGCTGAGAAATTACTACACAAGCCATTGTCTCCCATTTTTCAAACTTATTCAAACACTCAGATTTTTTTAATTCTTGATCCTACTGGATCCTATCAGCCATCCTTCCTACCACCACCTCACTTCCTTTGTGCCCTTCAGGCTCTCACTTCTTCACAGCTTAAATCTACACTCCATCTTTTAACCCTTTTCATGGACATAGTTACAACTCCTTTGCCTCTCTCCCACTTTCACTCTTTCTTATAAAGCCCCAATATTGGGGAAGATCATCTTCCCACCTACTTTGTACTTGCATTCTCATAACTAAAGAAGACACCACCTTTAAATTTCTAGCCAAGTGGCCTCTCACTGCTGCCCAACAGTCAGAGTGTGCTTTCTGCTTCATTCTTAATCCCATTCAATATAACTGTTTTATGCGCTCTATTCCCAACTCAGACCCAATCACTTCGTGTTCATCTTGGTTTTCACCTGATCATCTTTCTTCCTAAATCTTTAGTAATAGATGTAAGCGGCAGAGAAGCCTCAAAAATTCCCACCATATCTACCCACATCAGCGTTACCTATTTGTTCCTGTCCAGGGAAAATGCCCAGCTTGTCCACGAGATGCCATCAAAACTTTCCTGTTCAAATGTAACTCTTGTGTATTTCTTTGTTCTGTCATATTGGTTTCTTCCTCTGTAGAATCCTTCTTCTAATCATGAAAACATGATATTACTAGTACCCTAAAAATAATAATTAAATTCTCACTATCTTACTTCCCACCCACTATACTCCTTCCCTTCACCCCAAAGCCCCTAATATGGAGTGGTCTATTCAGTGACTTTAATGTGACTGTATCTATTTTTTTTCTTGAACCAACTCCAGCAGTCCCAGAAATACTACTTGTCAAGAGAAAATACAAAAGGCTTGCCAAATAGCCCAGCCGGTTAAAGCGCCTCCTTAGGCAGACGCAGCGGCCGGGATTCAATCCCCTGCCTGCCATGCTAGGCACCACCCTCTCCCCCTCCTGCCCCCGAGGGTGCTGAGATGGCTATTGAGACTCGGCATAGTGGCACGAGCCTGTAATCCCAGCTCTTGGGAGACTGAACACAAGCGAATCACTAAGAGTCCAATCTCCATAGTGACATCCAGTAGATCCTGTACTAAATCCAGAGAGAGAGAGAGAGAGAGAGAGAGATTGAGATTGATTTCCATTATAAACCTAAATTCCCTTCCCACCTCCAGAGATTCCCGTTGTGAAAGTATGACTTGGGTCCAGGGATTCCCGCTTTAGCCAGCACCACAGGCAGCTCTCCAGGTAATGTGGAGAATCAGGACACGGTGCAATACTCCAAGCGTACCTTGCTGTCCACCGATCTGCCTGTTCCCCAACTT